CAGCTCTGTAATGTTGACATTTGATCATCCTTTAGTTTGGACAAAATGATTTCCTTCACTGTCAATCACCCAGCAATGAGGTACTACATACTGTGGGTTGTACAAGAAGAGATTTATCTTACTCTTGCTTACCAAATCAACGAGGCATTCCAGTCTTAGGGCCAGGGAGGACCAGGCTGTAAATTTTTCTGACTCCTGCTATAAACAAAGCTTGTCAGGAGGAGGCTGTGACTTGACACCCCTTGCAGAAAGGGAAGCTGGGAAGCAGAGAAAACGTGCCTCTCTCTTTATGTCACTCGGTGCCTTGGGGAGAGGAGACCAGAGATTCCTAGATGCACAGCCAGGGCTGAAATCTTTCTGGTAAACCAAAGCCACTGTAGTGGAAACTTTGAGTTGCCTTTAAACTGCAAGGTCTCAATGACTCCTTCTGTGAGGAGGGAACTGGTTATCTCAGGTCAGGAAGGGTCAGTCTTACACTGTTAGTAGACCTCTTCTTGCCTTAATTCAAAGAGCTTCTACAGTGTGGGCAGAGGGATGGGATGTCCTTGGCACAGTATTCATTTGGGAATGAGTGTGGGGCACTCAAATAAGTGTACCTGTATTTAGGAAGTGAGGGATTGGTATCATGGATTTAGAAGGATTACCTATGACTGAGGTTATTTTTGAATATTTTAGAGCACACTGTCACTGGGAGAGGTAATGAGAAGATTTTTTAAAAGACGAGGAAAGAAAGCTGTTAGCATCATAACCTCAGGAATAGAGAACTGACAGCTAATATCTGATTTTGCCCTTTTTATTTAACAGAATGTGCTAACTAATTAAAAAGTAAGATATGATTTACAGCATTTTTAATTTTTGAAAATCTCCTTAGAATGATTAGGGAAGTAGACTTTCATACCCTCACTGTTAGTGGGATTATAAATTGGTGCTAAATTTCTATGATACTGTGTGCCAAAAACCTCAAAATTACATCCATCCTTTTCAGCAGCAATTTAATTTTTAGGACTTCATGCTATGATGTATTAGGAATATACACAAAGGTTACAATACATATTAATGTATATAGTATTATATGTTTTCTAAAAACAGTAATCTTATTTTTAAAAATAAAATGGAATTGGTTAAATAAATTGTGATGCATCAGATTCTATATAGTCACAGATCATTATAACATACAGATGTCTTACTGTGAAAAAATGGTCAGTATATATTACTAAGTTAAAAAAGAAAAAAATAAAGATCATATACTATTTGGTTTGTCTTTTATACACATAGATGCAAACACTAGAATGAAATTTATCAATATGTCAGTAGTCTAAGTGCTTATTTTGGGTAGCGGATAACAAAGTCCTTCCCTTCTTCTTTCCCTCCTCTCTCTCTCCCTTTCTCTTCCCTTCCTTTTTCTTCCTCCCTTCCATTTGTCCTCTTTTTCTCTCCTCATCCTCCTTCTTAGTCCTGGTTTCATGTTTTCTAAGCATTTGGGCTTTTATTTTATAATTTGAATGAATATAACATTTTGTTTTATTTTCAACTTTATCTCATAAAATCTGCTATTTGGATTTTCCTTAGGGAATTTAGGTGGAAAGTGAAAACAATTGTTTTCCTCTTTTGTACTATTTAGTACAAAATTTTATTTTTCCTAAATGATTCCAAGTTCTCTTCCTCCATGAGTGAAGAAGAGAGAAAATAAGAAAGTGAAGACCAACATTCTGCTGTGTCTTTCAGAAGCAGACCTAGAAAATTATTCCACCACGTTCACTCCTCTTTGGAAGATGAATTTTTTAAATTAAATTATATTGGTCTTTTACCTGTTTTGATAGTTGAAGGACGGATAGAAAAACAAGTCAGGTATCTGCTGTATAATTATTTCATGGTATTTAAACATCACGTATTTCTTCTCCACAACAGTTGTGAAGAAATTAACTTTGGTTTTAACATGTAAAATTAAAATGATTCACAGCTTTTCTGATATTTTATAAGTTTTCTAATAAATTAATAAATCTAGGCTCTTTAATAATCTAATTAAAGTCTGAATAAAAATTTCCAGGGAAGCAAAATCAAGTCATGTTTGAAGACCAGGATAGGAAAGGTGGTAACAGAAAAAATACTGTTCAGTAACCATCACAAACAGTTGACTGCAGTTGTCTATGTCAGTTCTCAAACTTGACATTGTCTCCTGATATTCAAGTCTTGGTTTTAGGGAAGGTACATGGCTCACTGCAAATTACAAAACATTGAAAGTTGAAACTAGTAGTGGCAGAATATTGGTGAGAGCGTTTAGAATGTTCTAACAACTATATACAGCCTGATATATATACAGATTTGAGAATATTAAGCTTGTGTTAGATAAGTGAAAATTTTACTATGAAAACTGTATTTTCAACCAATATTTTTTTGTTTTTAAATGAATCCTATCAGCACAGTTATCATAGGTGCTTCATGTATTTCATTTCAGGGAAAACTGATGATAGGATCACCATTTTAACTTCAAGCTACTGGTGTCCCAAGGTTGCCAGATTGAACACCAGGGGTGCTGGGCTCAGGATTGAGGCAAATCTGAGTCTGTCTGGAGGGTGGAGATATGGCCTGCCATGGTTCTATTTTCACAAAGGCTGGATGAATTCCATCAGGAAGAAGTCATGGCAAGGAGAAAGGCTACAGAACTATGGGCAGCCTTCAGGAATTCTAGCAGTGACTTGGTTCAGTGTCAAGCAAAGTCACTCACTGCCAGTGAACTGCACTTGAGGGATAAGGAACAAAATGGTGAGCATTGCAAGAACAAGTTCTTGGAACACCTATGACAAATATGTGTTAGGGAGGGAATCCAAAAACCATAGAAGGAACTTGAGGGGTTTGATTCCTATGGACACTATGTAGATATACTTTTCTGTATCCATTATTGTCACTCTGGTCTTACTCTCAGCCTTCTGTCACCCAGAAAACACAGATTACTTTTATATCCCTTTAGAAACAATAGAAAAGTAGTTATCAGATGGCATACACAAAATACAGATACATGTGGGCTTCTTGTCCCTGCCTTTAAAACAATAAACACTGGGATCATTTGGAGAAAACAGCAGTTACCAGGAAATCAATTAGCCAAGATAACAAAAATCCCTGATAGCATTTAATCCTCCAAGTAAGAATTCTTCATTCTTGGGTCAGACTGATAAATGAGGTGGCATTTAGGCTGACTGATTGGATTCATCCCTTTGTGGTGCCACTGAACATCAGACACACATGATGGAAAGGTTCTTTGGTGTTATTCTGCTTTCTTAGTACTGCATAGCTAGTCACCTTTCTAGAATTTGTATCTGATTTGGAAAATATTTTAGAACAACCCAATAACAACCACGAGATAAAAAAATTCTACACACTTCACAGTTCCTTCCTATTACATGAATGTGTAAATTGAATTCCCTCTCAAGATGAAAATAAACAAAGGTTGGCTTCCCAAAAATGTTTTCATTGGCTTTGGGGAACTAAAATGCACCAGTCTGGGTGACTAACACTTCCTGTAAAATAAAGATAGATCAACACATAATTAAGTTCTGGCTCAAATGTAATTGTTGTCTTGGAAACAGTTTGGGAGATTAATATGGTTATGCTAATGAAACTTTTCATGATTTCCACCAATGATCTCGTTTATTAATTAGGACAGACCATCTTACTAATTTATGCTACCCATTTTGTAATATTCAAAGGATTAAAAAAAAGTTCCTAAGAGGATACTGAAAAGAAGGAAAAAGGAATAAATCTTAAATTCGCTATTTATCAGCTCTCGTAAAGATTCCAGTTGGATAACCCCTAGGTAGGTTAAAAGCACTTTTTGGTGTATTTGTGGGTTTCAAACATCCTTCCTATCTCATTAAGCAGAAAACAGTTGTGTATAGAGCAATCTGAATAATTCCTAGCGTCATTTCTCTGAACTCCCTGCTTGGAGGATTTAAAATTGGACGAACCCAAGAGAAACAAGCGAAACCAAAATCCTAACTAGCCAGTGTTTTCTAGTTCCAGCTTTCAGTAGAGAGGAGTTTCGAAGGAAGTTCTACTCACAGCCTAGCCCTGAGGGCCGTCTGCCTCCTCTGGACGGTTTGGTTGAGACCGAGTGTGAACTCTGGGCGCGAGAGCGCATCCTGGCTCTGCGATCACACCCACTCCGGGTGTGCGTGAGGGAGTGCGCGGTGGCCGCGCGCGTGTGTACGTGTGGGGAGGTGTGCGCCAAAAGGGTGGGGTGAGGGGCGGC